TGAAAAAAATTTGTGCCACTTTGGTTAAAATTCATTCCAATTTTACTACAACTCAGAGGGAGATTTCAGTTAAAAAAGTACAGTGCAACTGTATTCCTCTGTTATTCTTGGCTAAAGTATCTTGCTCTTATCTTATCTGATCCTTTTTTGAAAATGTTAAACCCTTTAACTCCCAAGATCTCATAAGTAATTCTTCTTACTGTCTGCCACTTGGTTCTTATGATGCTAGTTTGGAGAATTTGACACTGACACTGACACTGACAACAAGGTCACCAACAACCCATAGAAAAAAAAAAATTAACAAAGAGAGATTGCTGACTTCCAAAGTTTTACTCGCAAAAGTATTTATTTCAATTCATCCTAACTGATTCACTAATGGATATGAGCAAACAAACATTTAAAGTTTTAAAACGTATTGATGGGAACCTCCAAAGGTAGAAAATTGAATAAATTGCTGTTAAAATGACAAAAACATCTTGTGTTAAAAAGATTAGTTTGGAAAAATTGGAAATGAGAACCGCAATGTATAAAAACTGAACAAATATTAATACAAGCAACATTAAAGCCTGAATTTGTTGGGAAGCCCCATTCTGGTTTGTATGATGTTAAAACAGTTTCCACTATTATCATCACAAGATAGCTTAATTTTTTGGTCCGCATGAGTTCCTAGGGGGTCATGCCGACAATAGCAGCTACTGTGACATGTTATAAAATTTAACATGGTGCACACACAGAGAATTCTAGTTAGAAAACAGCTGATATCTGTTACAATTTTTTCTCACACTTTGTTCCCGTTTATGACCAAAAATTTAACTTACAGTTAAAATATTATTTTTGACAATTTAATGCCAATTTTGTTCCATCTGAGGTTTCCTTAAACCCTTTCTGTTCCATAAATGATCATCAGGTAGCTTCTCCTCACAATTTCATACTTTATCCAGCTGAAGAAATAATGAGAAATTATTGACAACTTATCTGCAAGAGGGTGTTACCTTGATATGTATATCTTACCAGATGTTTTGGTTTGTAGTATCGCTGAGTATTTTTACAAGTTGTGCCGTATTTTGACAAGCCCATGGGGCCAATCAAAATACAAACATTGTGTAAAAATATTAAGCAATACTTCACACCAAAAAGTCTGATAAGTTATTTATCATCCAACCCCTATTTTCCTGCCAAGTGTTGCTGCTTATTTCTCACAAGGCAGGAAATACAATGAAGATAAAAAGCCTTGGGCACACAGCTGAGCACTTCAACAGGTTTTTTTACAGTACAAAATAACTTTCTGTAAAATATCACAAGATTTCTGTGCTCTATTTGCACATTGTTTGTTCTCTTCTTTGTGTAGTTAGATAATAAAAAACCATATTCTCTTAACTAATTTTTCAATTAAATTTTTCCATGTATCACTGAGATTATAAAAATATATCTCTTCATATAAATAATCTCCATTTCATTCTTCATACAAAATGCTTATTAGTTCTAAAAAAGCTGAATGTAATGGTAACTATGAGTGTTTCCCTAACCAAACACTGAAACATGATGACAGTTCTTATTATACTAATAAGTATTTATCCAAACCTTTTGACGAATTACAATTTTGATTAATTTTATCAATCCTTCAGATTAACTTTCTAAAATATTCTCTGCTTTGCAGGACTTTGCCTCCTTCCCTAATTCACATCTCCTTTAAAAGAGAACTGGACATTAAGAATGCCTTGGAGAGTCTCCTAACAAACCTACAGAATTTTCCCAAAACCAAATCAGGGAAGATAACTGACTTTACAATTTAATTACTTTACTAATGAAAAAGAGAGTTGCAAATGATTAGTTGAAACGCAACAATTTCTCAAGAACTGTTTACAACTTGTCACTAGCAACATCAAAGTTATTTTTACTGCTTAACATTTGTCATCCTTACTGCTGTTGAAGCAGTGCCACAAATCCTTCATCTCAATAATAGTAATTACGACAAAAGAGGACTTGTTTCAGAACCACGGTTGATTAAACCTATAAGCATTCGCCTCCTCATTTTTCGTAAATGTAAAGTACGAACAATGAACAAAATGAAAGCAATGATGATAAGCAGACCTCCCAATGAAACCACACCCAGCTCAATGGCATGAACTAGAGTGAACTTGGATAGCACCTGACTCTTCAGCTTCTCAGCTGTTGCACTGTCAATAGTTGCTGTCTCATTTATATACAAGACAGGAAAAAACATGCTTGGGATTCCAGATGTCTGAGAAATGCCATCCACAGGTTCAACTTTCACATTGATTTGAAGTCGCTTGCTGCTCCTCAATGATATTCCTATGTGAGGTTCTATGTTAAGAAAAGTGCCATGATCCGCTTTATTTGGAGAAAGACCTTCTAGTGGCTTGAGAAGGGATTTGTCCCCTAAGTAGAAATGTGGTGCTGAAATAAACAGGGGTATTGCTATAGGGGAGGGTGGCTGACATACACCAATATCCAAAATACCAGATGGGTAACATTTTTTTGTGCAAAACCCTTCATTGTCTGGATTTGCAGAGGCATTCAAAAAGGCCTTTGAAGGGACAGTAAATTGAAGGGCCTCAATACCATGGACATCACTCTCTGTTACATGAGTAAAGTACAGCGAACGACACAGTTGTGTAACAAACACATACAGTGTATCATCTTTGCTTATTCCTGGAGCAAATTGAGAGCCATCTGTTCCATTTATCATGTTTGCATATCTGGTTTTCCAAACCTGGAGCTCTGTCATACCTTTCCAATCCATCCAGTGCACCAACATGCTGATATCAGTCTTGCCAGTAAATACACTGGTCACACCGTCATAAGTGTTATTCTGTTGAAGGGCTATTATGAAAGGTACCTCAGGAAGATATTTCTGCAAAAACTTCGGAAGATCGTCTCTTAAATCATTGTACTCCTTGAATATTGGATCAGGGTAACCCCAAAGTAAATCTTGGACGCGCCTTTTTGTATACAGTTTCTCCTGAAAACCATCAAAGATAAGTGATATAGCGTCTCGCGCAATCTTTGGTAATTTACCAGCTGCTTCCGCCAATGTAACTAATGGAATATTTACTGTAGTTACGATATCAGTAAAGGGATCACAGGTATCACAAGATGTTTCTGCATCGAAGACGAACGACATTTTCTCATTGTAAGTCACTGTTTCTGTATTTGAATTCCATGTTACGTTCTGTTTCGGCCTGTGCTCTCGGTATGAGTACGGACCTTTCTGAAGAAGGTACGGTCGCTTTCCTTGCTTCGCCTCCATTGGATTCGATATGTCAAAAATATAGAATTGTAGGTATATTGGCACTGAAGGATTTATCCATTCCTTGGCAACACTTGAACCTGGTTTGAGCACTAAATTATCGTTTATCTTATTCTGAATATAGCGATCCATCTCAAAATATAGAGTTACTCCTGCTATCACGAGCAAAATTCCAAAAGTTAGAAGGAAAGCAATTTTCTTACAACCAACAACACAACAAGCTCCCTTTGAAGCAAATTCCCCGTTTGCCATGTTTCTAATTACGTGACCGATGGTACTATATCCGCCGTCAAATGAGAAAGTTATCGTACGAGGGATGAAGAATCGCTTGCAAACTGCAGTATTTTACCTTAGTTTGTACTGCAAAAGACGGGTAGTTCAAGCAACATTTCAACCAAAGGTAAACTGATATGTACCGATAAGGACTATTCAGGTCAATTTCGGTCCCGTGATTTCCGAAGGGCGCGTGAACGTTACCGACACTCCAAAGGTCAATTTGTTTCCTGATTCAGTAGGAGCACAGGCAGAGACTTTTGTTTTTAGTTGTGAACACGAGGAAGCCATTTCTAAGTCCGAAGGGAAGTTTCCGCCGAAATGGAAGTTACATAATGCCGGTGTGATTGGAATTGCTACGCAAATTGCCTCGTCATGTGCTGATTACGTCATCCCACCGATATGCATACTTTATTTGTGAGATTTTTGAAAAAACCAGTTTCATCGATGGAAAATAATATGGTTCCGGCGATAACTTTACCTCTTCACATATTCTGATCTGTGACAATTCTTAAGTAAGCTTGATTACCTTTGAAAGGCAACGCAAAGACTTCTTAAAGTGTACGAAACGGTCGTCACGCAAACGCGGAGACTAAAACTGTAACGCATCTTTGACAACTACGTTTTGAACTAAAGCCTCCGTTAGCCCCCAAGGGTGTCACGCATCAGATTTCTTCTACAGTTTCGCCGCTGTATCAAAAATCAAGGCCAAATGAATAAAGAAAATGATCGACAGCGCTGTGGACTGTCAAACAAATTCTCCGTGTTAGCACCATAGGAAATGTTCTGAGAACTGTGTGGAGAATCTGAACACCGACATTAGACCAAAAGGGTCAAGCTACAAAAGAAAGAAAAAACAACTCATTTACTTATTTAACTATGAGTGGGGTGCATATGCGCCATTAGGGAAGCGCGAATTTAGTTGGCAAGGTATTGTAGGTATTTGCCTTGGGTTGAATTCCTGAAGGATTTTAGGCTGGATTACCCTGGTAGATGACTTTATTTGTTCCCTCCACGAAGACCACGTTTTTTTTTTTAATATTGGAAGGGTTATTTTCGTGTTCCCAAAAATTCGTTGCTTATCTTTTTAATATACTAGCAGAGAGTTGTATCTTACTAACATTTTAAGAGATGCTGGTCATCTCTCGCCCAAATTTCGACTGGACAAATAACTAATGTAAATCGTACTTTACAGATTGTTTCATCCACAATAAAGAAGAGAGCGCAAACAAAACGTTGACCTTTTCACTCCCAAAATCCTATTATTTAGTAATTCTCCAAATTCTCTCTCATAAAATTCTTATAATGTTAATTTGGAGAATTTGGCATTAGATCAAGTATTCAATTCCTCGTAATCTGTGTAATATTGTATCGATGTTGTAAGGAGAAATTCTGCCTTGGTTAACATGGAAGTTTACTGGCCAACTTATCGCGGAAAGTAAGACAGAAGCCGTTGCACGTCTTAGATCAATAAATAGCAAAATAGGATGTATTTCTTTTTTATTTACGAGGATCAATTTTTCATAAAACAATATCGTTTTATTCTCAAGTCACTTCGTTCAGGCGTCTTTTCTTAGTAACAGAACTTGCAATTTCTTCTCCTTCATATGTTACACTATGCTGGTCTGACTGGGCTTCTTTACTGTCCTTGTGACTCTGTTGGAACGTATTGGTGAAACAGTCACGCACTCCGTCAGCCTAAAATCAAATGAAGGAGAGCATAACGTGCATGAAATTCTTTCAACAGGACCCTAGCCTAGCTATTCTTGAGGGAAAGTAGATATATTGGGATGGTTTCTGTTGATTCCAGTTTCCACCCATTCCAGCACACTCTTCGAAAGACTACCGCATAAAGAACAAGTAGTCCTAGATTGCATTGCTTTACTTCGCTCTGCGTTTGGTGGAGAAAACTCGCATCACTCTCTCAACCAATCAGATGCAAAACTAAAAACCAATCGCGGCTTGGTCGCCTGCGTTTTCCCGCGCTTTAGGGAGTTTGGTTTGTTTTTACTTTGAGTAAAGTTCTCATTGGCTCCTAAAAGTTTTTTCCTTTCTCCTGATTGGCCATTGCGATTACTTTGGGTTTGGTTTTATGAAAATCAATCGAAAAGCGCTCAAACCAAATATGAATTGAATCTCCCCACAGTTGCATTAACAGCACTAGTATATATTTCCAAACGAGTTGATAAAAGGTAGAAAGAGAGAACGGAGTGAAAAAAAAAACTTCTGAAAACTGCAAGTGTCTCCCTCACATAATGAGCTAGACTCGTTTTCTTTTTTAGTGTAGAAAAACACGAAAAAGGGTAATCATGGAAAGGGGCATTAATCAAGAATGACTTTTGCGCTGATATAATTTACTCATCAAGTATAGGTAACAACATGATTTCGAGTGCACTTTGTTGTAAATAAGCACGGGTAAATTTTTCAAAGACAATAAAATTGCACGAGTCCGTAGTCTTTGAAACATTTACAAGAGCTTATCCCACCAAATTTAATCATGTTATTACTTGTTAATAATGTACATGACAAAAATCGCCGAAAGTCAAGACAGACGAAATTTTAAAAAACGCGCGTGCGCTATTTGTAATTTGCACTCGTAGTACAACTTTGGTCTTGTGATACATGAGAATGTACTTGTTTTCAGCCAATCTGAAGCGCATAATTTTTTCATGTACACTATTACTCTCAAAAGTGACTAACGTGCAACTTTTACCTTCATTGTCCATACATTCGTCAAGACAGGTGATGACACTCAGACTTATCAGGTAGAAGTTGCTCGTTTGATGTAACACCAAACTATCGTAACTTATTCACAAGGAAATGTGTAGATGTCAGAATCTGATCGTGGGAGTTAAAAGGCCAACAGAAACACGATAAGCAAAGCTTAACTTGACAGTTATTCAAGTAAAAGAGTATACAGTATCTCATTTTACCGTTATTTGAAAAGGAATTATCATCTCCTGTCGTGAAGGCGACTTGTACAAGTTGGCAAACCTTTAGTAAGAAAAAAGCGAATCAAAACCCTCAATTTCACGAGCAAAATCTGAGATGCAAGATTCTAGAAGTGGTTAGCAATCCGCAGTAACTCACTTTGCAGCCCCTTCTACTGTGTGCAGTTATGAGACTTTAAAAAATTAGTAAAAAACTATTTCTACTTAATACTATACAGTTCGTGACACAGTAGTCGGTACCTCTGGTTATCTTCCCAGTACAACACCACACGAATCGTGCTGGCGTGACCCCAGCTTTCACCTGCAATCAACAAAAAAAACAAATTACCAACTCCAGTTTGATTTATGCTGAACAGGGAGCTGGCTGTTCTACCGTTTAAAGGCAACTCACCTAATGCGGGTATCAGATGTGACTGGCCCAGCTGGGTGGTTTTGACACGAGTGGTCATCTGATTCATGAAAACTACCTGTAAGGGGCGCGAAAAAAATAAAAAACATTGGCTCCTTGGGGTATAACTTACGAGTCATAATACTGGCTGTCCACCTAATACATGCGTAATAAATTGCTTAACATAAGTTATAAACCCAACGGGAACTTAGACAGTTATCATCTACTATTCAAAGCCGGCTGATTTACGGAGAAACAAGCTTGCGAAAAAAGTTTTTTTTTGGCTTTTATCAGGCGATATGGGCAAGAGCGAGGCAAGCGCATCACACCCCTTTATGCTGCCTCAGCTCCCCTGAAAAACACACTCACAAAAAATGACACCTTTTCTGCAAGCTTGGTTAAACAATTACATCTGCTGAAATACAAATTAAACAAGAAACAAACAAATAAAAACAAAAAACAATGAGATCTTGAACTACTATTCGGGAAAACGTTTTTCTCGTGTTGAAAACCAGTTATTTGACTGTGTAATGTGCAGTTCTAGCAACTGTTTTGGAACCAGATCAAAATTATTCCAATAGCCAATCAGAAAAAGCAAAGTATCAAAAGGAACCAATGATACAATAAAGCAAAAAAATCAAGTAAACTTCCCGAAATGAAAGAAAATACATGTAACCAAGTTGCAAGTTGTTGGAAGTTTTGCATTTGATTGGTTGAGAGAAAGTGGCAGAAGTTTTTCCAGACTAATCACAGAGCAAAGTAAAGATGTATCAATGACAAAATATATTATGTGTTAATGCCAACACTCAATTAAGAATTTTTCTATGCTTCAAGTTCTTTACTTACAGCTAGCTGCCGTTCACACGCCATTTTTATAAAGCTCTGAGCCAAGCCATTCAGCAGTCTTGCTCTCAAAGCAAGATCATCAAAGTCATGACGGAAGTGAAATGCAATACTATCCACCACAATCAGCTTCACCTGAAATTAGAAAAAAAAAAAAAAAACCAAACAAAACAACAAAGAACTTTACAATGTAAAAAAAAAAAATTGTGCAAGGAGGGGGAGTAATTACACCACTTTGATGAATTCCCATAAGTTGTGGTGAATAATGTATACCCTCAAAGGTTCTTTTTTTAAGGCCACATCAGTACCCTCTACTAACTCTGGCCACATTTGAGAGTATACCACCCTGGGGAGGTGGAGGGGAGGGGGGGGAAGCAGAGAGGAGGGGTAGTGTTACAACTTTTAGATTAAAAAATATTAAAAACATTTCTCTCCAGAAAAAATTTACAACCTTCAGATTCAGAAATTTTAGAAACATTATTGTCTTCATCATGTCCATCAGTATAGAATAGGGAAATCTGTGCTAAAAAAGTCATTCCCTCATAGAAACTGCTCTCCATCAGACTTCAACAATTATTACACAATTTGTACAAATTATGAGGGAGACTGATTCATTTGTGAGCATTTAGCATGAAATTCTGGCATAGGTCACTTTAGTTCTTGCCTTCTATCGAGGGTCTTGGCACACACCCCCCTTTTTTTTGGGTAATAACCTTACCCCAAGTCCAAAGTTGCCTGTGTTGTTTCACCCTTTAATGCAATTCATGTTTTAGTTTCTTATTGATACACCCTTTGGTTGAATTTCCTTGAGTTAAGTTACCTTGGGATGTTCTTCCAGGAAGTCTGGTAAAACATGGGACAATGCTATTAATTGCATGTAGTCATGGCATCTGAACACATAGATCCTTGACAAGATGCTTTCCATGTGAAACTTTTTTAGGGCTTCATGTAGCAGACCCCTCTCTGATCAGCAACAGTAATGAAAAGACAGAGATAAAAATTAATGAACAAAGCACTCCTGTTTTATTTTAATCTGCATAAAGATCCTCTCAGGAACTATCCAAGTTGCAAAGGTCTCTTTGTCCAGTCACTTTGATTGCCAGCTTCACAACTTTGTCAGACATGGGTATTGAAGAGAAGGAAGTTTTTTTTCTTGGTAGGAAGAGACACTATCCGAGTAATTTAAAATAAGACCTTGACATTCACTTTGGGTCCCTTCCATGCTCAGCTACTCTCATAATCATATACAATGAGATGTGGCTGCTTCTATCTTAGTTTTTGCACTAGAAATGAGAAATAGAGGTTTGAGTTCTAGCCTTTGTCAGGGTCATTCTCTGTGTTGTGTTCTTGGGCAAACATTTGTAAGAAAGCTCAGGGATAGCTGCAATTGGGAAAGCATCCTGTCCAACAAGAGTAGTGTAACACTCCTTACAGTATTACCCCTGAATCACATGTAAAGGTCACAAGAATAAAGGAAATGTTCACCAACTAGAGCAAATCTTCATTTCTAAACAAATTCTACTTGTCAGCACGTTAGGAAATGAATAGAGAACAGTATAGAGAATATGCATACTGATGTTAGAATGCAAAGGGTTACTGGTGAGAAATCTAAGATAAGCTTTTGCTAAGAACTGGGTATCAAGGCCTGTAAGACTTATATATCATCCCACGTCAGTCAAAAAGGAAACAGTTTCACAGAAAATGTAATGCCTCAGTACCTGTTTCATCAGCATCGGAAGACTGGACTACATTTGTTATATGCCTTATGGCAGCAGTTGCTATGTCTAACACTCTCTCAACAATAAAACTTCCCTCAGTGTCTGAAATGTTGTAAGAAAATATTAATAAAAAAGTTGAGGACACTAGAAAAAATGATGCCTTTGAAACATAAAAAGTGATATGACTGTACCAATATAAATGGCTTCTCCATCAAGTCCACCAAACTCATCAGGTATCTGAACATCTACAGCTAGCTGCATTCTGAAAAAAATGTTAAAATCATTTGTTAGTTTGGAAAAAGGATTTAACTAAATCCTGTTGGTCAATAGTCCATACAAAAAACACAAAATCACCAGAAATACAAACATATCAATTGGCTCCAAATAAGGTGAAATGAAGAGAGGCAATCACAACAAATTTAAAGGATTTACAAGTAAGAGAAAGCAGAATAAAATGAATTAAGCGTGAGTCATCTCTCACTGCCTGAGCTTATCCTGGTTTGTTTCCATGGCGCAAAGTGACTGGGAGTGTTTTTACCCCTCCAGGGTCAGGGATCCTAGTCCATTGCATGTTTACCTCCGGCAGTTTACTGATGCTTATTATATTAAAAAAAAATTATAACAAGGGTCACACATTTAACAGGAGCTTTTATTGAAATGGAAGCGGTGATTCAAGGAGTTATGGTTTTTTTGACGGTGATGTTGCTTTTCAGTCCTCAGTGCAGGTTTTATGATATCCCACAGGTATTGATCCAAAGCCTGTAGGACTGTAGTGTTCTTTCTGTCTGTTTAATTATACTGTAACATTATTAGTCCATAAGAACTTAATTGTAACTTAAACATTACTGTAATATCAGGTTCATACCCTATTTGAGTTTTTCCAATGCCAGGTGCTCCACAGAACTCTGTGATTTTACCAACTGGTACTCCTCCACCCAACATGTCATCAAACTTTTCGCAGAAAGTGACAATACTACCAGCAGACTGCTCTTGTTGCAAAAGGTCAAAGGCATTTGTACTTCCTGGGATGGAACTTGATGAATGTTTCCCACTGACGGTTGGCTTCTTGTTCCAGGATTGTGAGGAGTCTTTACTGCTTCGCACAGTCTGAACTATCTTAAGAGATTCTTCTTTATCAATTCCCAGATCTAATAATCAATGAGAAGTAGACTTTTTTTCTAAACAGTGCCAGATAAGAAACACATCTACCTATCCTCAAAACAAACTCAGAAAACAGGCAAAAAAAAACAGCTAAAGAGTGTCAATTTGGTATAACACCTTACTCTCTTCAGTACTTTCAACCGTTTGACTCCAAAAATTAATGGTTTATTCTCCCTTCTTCTTTGTAAATCAGGTACAAGAATTTGGTATTAGAGCAAGATAAAAAAATTCTTCTGGATAAGTTTGAATATTCTCATTTCCTGTTTTCTTAACTCCGTAACTAATTTTACCAGATGTGCAGGTGTAACAGCTTGAGTTGAGAATTAACAATCAGATCTTGGGAGTCAAAGGGTCAAGATTGAATCAATTCACAAATATTTGATTACAATTTATCATGCAGTTCACACATACAATTCTCCGTCTTGTTACCCAGCTCCCTTTTAAGATCTCCAACTTTTTGTTCTCAAAACAACCCACACCCCATCTTCTCGAACTCTTTGTCATCTTTGTCACCTCTTGACACTCTTGACAACATCTGTTTGATTTGCATGTTTGAAAGCGAGAAGTTTGCTGAACAGTCACAAGACAACAAAGAAGCATAGGCTGGTTGGTCAAAAAGCACAAGTGGAAATAAAGTGAACAATCTAACCGAGGACTTGCCTTCACTCAATTCAGTTGGCGTCACATCTTTCAGGTCATCAACGGTGATATAGCCTGCATTTGACAATTTATGCAGGTAATTTGAAGCCAGAGGGAAGGTACAAAGCTCTCGCTGCATTAAGAGAAAGTTATCCACAACCCTTTTCCATGCATTTGGTAGAGAAACTCTGAGAAGATCTACTGACCGCCTCTCAATTAAATTCGCGCGAAGTTGACCAACAAAAGTAGTAACAGACTGGGCCGAGTCTGGAGCCACTGACCATAGACGCGTAACTCGCAGGCTCAATAGTAAACAAGGAGCGTTAGTAATCGGCGGTTCTTCGAGGCGGTTCGACGGTTGAAACATTAGAATCATGGCGCAAGGAAAGGGGAAAATTAAGAAGGCCACAGCGACGAAAAAACACCAGAAAAAGGCTCTTGGTCCGAAGAAGGGAGGTAAGTTTAAAATATTTGTGGCATGGACGAAGATAGAGTACTAATTTGAAAGTGTTGTGACGGAAGTAACACTATCGAACGTCTGTAACTGCTACGCTGTTGTTGTGCGCGCTTTTCAAATCAAGAAAAAATAAAGTTGATTTATTTGTGTACTTTATTTAAAGAAAATATTTAGAATGATATCAAAGGCTGTTATTAGAGGAACTTTCATGTCTTTTGATCGCACCCCTAACATATATCTTTTTGAGAACACATTTCAGGTTTTTGCGTCGCATGCAGAATAGAATTCGAACAAAATCTCAGATACGTTATTCTGTTTTTCTTTTGATTTGTCAGCAAGAACTATTGCTCCCAAGAAGAAGACGACTGTCAAAGCGGAGAAAGTAAAGAAGGTAATTTTGTAAACTGGTTCTTGTGTAGGTTATATTATTCACCGACATTTTATACATTCAACTTTTTCTTTTGCTGTAGTGTAATTACTATTTAGCACACACCCAGCTTTATATGACGCTCATTGCCGAGTTTATCGGATTGAGAGCTTGTTGATTTTTCTTCTGATAAATTCGTTATTTTATCCGTGTAAGAACTGGCGTATTTGTCACAAAATCGAATCCACGATGTTTTGTGATGTTAAAATTACATTTACTTTGCCTGATATAAATATAATGAAGATTTTTTTTGAAACGAAGAAAACGCGTTTTTCTTGCTTATAAAAATTTAATAATTACAGCCCGTTAAGAAACTTCAATTCAAAAGCAAAATTTAGGTATGTTTAGCGACAAAATTTCTTATCTGCACGCTTTTTGGCAACGAAAAATCTACGCAATTATAATCACAAACGATAAATATCTGTGGAACCTAAAACCATCAAACTTTTGTTAATTTAAAATACTGTGAATAACCTCAACCAATGCTTGAATTTGTGGAGTTGTTGATTGGATTGGATGCGGCATGGCTACCCGTGCAATAGCATTGTTGTTAATGTCAGATGTAGAGTGGTAGTTGTAATGAACTGCTGTGAAATTTTAAATTATTGTATTGGAAGTAAGAAAAAAGTGATCCAGATCCTAAACCACTTGAGAACCCTTTTATTTTAAACAAACTTCCTTTAAGTAAACAGTTCACTTGAGCATATTTTCCTCTGGTGGTAAGGATGTCTGCTTATAGGGGTTTCTGATATGAATATGTTTTTCTTTTTAAATGCATACCATATCAAGGGCTGCATTGTGGCTTCAATAAACAGTCCACATGGCACTGAAACAGGGCTAATGCTTGAAACATCAGCTTAGAAAATCTTTACAGAGGCCAATTTACATTCTCAATTCAGTTGATAAAACCAAATTATCTTGTTGTACTCCCCCACTGATGCAGCATCATTGTTTCTTTAAAAACTTACCCCCTTAATTCCCATGGCCTATGTTTTAATCGTGTTGTACAGTGAGAATTTTATTTTCCACTGAAAAATTTCATGGTCTGTAATCACTTGTAGGGAAAGAGTTGGTTTGAAGTGTATGTAGAAGTAGCCAGGAACCTTAATTCCAAAAATGGTTCATCTAGGTGTTAAGGCCCATTTTCAATAACAATGTAGTCAGTGTTTGGAAAAAATCAGGGGGCTGTGGAGACCTGGCTTGACTTAATCAGGGCATGGAATTGCACCTAACACAGGCGCTAATGTGACTAAATTTTTCACTTTGGCAACCAAATCCTGAAAATAAGATTTAGGTGAGCTTGAATGTTGCATATCATCCATCATAGTGTCAACTTTGTAGCATGTTAAAGATCTTTTCCCTAACTTAATTTTGGAGGGTCTATCTAGAACACTGACAGCGTAAAACTAGAGAAGCTTAGGATTATGAAACAAATTCTCCTTGTCAGCACCTTAGAGATTGTATAAAGAACAGTAAGGAGAATGTGCATACTGTTGTTATGGTGGAAAGGGTTAAATGATTCTGAACCCTTTCACTCCCAGGAGTGACCAAGACAGAATTTCTCCTTACAATAAGAATACAATATCAAGCCACCAAGGGATGAGAGTAGTAAAAGATATTCACTAGGAGAATACTATTGAATCCAAAAACCAGATTCTCTGAACAAACTTAGTAAGAAAAGTATGACAGGTAGTTATGAGGATTTTCTTTGAGTTATGGAGAAGGAAAGGTTAAACCACAGGGAGGTCTCACCAGGTGAACTTATCAACCTTCAGTTCTGTGGTTGTTTTGTGTTAGCCATTTTGAAAACCACTCCAGTACAAGGTTTGCAACAAGTTTCACAGAGGGTCTGGAGATAAGAGTTTTTCAGAACCTTGCTTAGATGATAGAAAAGGAAAAGGACTTTTGCTATTGTCGGCAAGTGATTGCAGTCTACTTTACTTTTGTATTGGCTGCTAATACCAGACCCTTTAGCAGTTCATCCCAGACCTCCTATGTGTGGTTGTTTCCAAAATGGCCATCCTCCCAAAAATTCAGAACTCATAAGAAGGTCAGTTTTCATTCACATAGACGATCTGTAATGAGTCTCTAAGAAAGGTTTTATCTCTCATTTAAATTACCAGGCTCTTGAGGTAACCATCAAAGCAAATATTGAGCAAGAGCTCACCCAAGTGGCAGTCAGCAAGCAGTCCAAGCCATTGAAGATGGTGAAACCTGCAGCAGGAAAAAAACCAGCCAAGAAGAAGGGTGGAGGAAAAAAACAGAAATAAACTCACGGTTTAAAGATTTGCTGGCTGTACATACATACTATCTATACTACTGGAATGCATTATAAAGTATTGCTCTCTTTTTCGTGCCTTATTTTATATCAATAAGTCGAATTTTGCATCAGACTACACCTTTATATAGGATAGCTTACTGTATTAATCTTACTGTAATTAGCCAAATCAGACATTGTAGAGGTGAATCTCCTTATGTTGTGTTCAGATGTTTTCATTTTTTTAGTTAATTAAACATATTATAGTAATCGTACCGTTATGAGTATTCCAGCTATTTGTCTAATTTATTGTATCTTTTATCAAACAAACTTATGAAGTTGGTAGCACTCCTCCATCCAGAATTTGCAAGCAAACCATGTCATTACTCTTCAAGAAATCTTTGTCCACTTGCTTCAAAAACTAGTAAGAAAGCCCTTGATGACCAACATGAAAATCAAAGCAAAAGAGCATAAACCACTAGTCATAACCAAAGTAAATTTGACTAAGGATGAAACCAGAACTCAAAGTAACTGATAAGGAAATGACCTAAGGCCCAGGAAAACCCCGGGTGGCGAAGGGACTGATCGGGGGGAGGGGGTTGGGTTGGAGCATTTTGGTTGTGTTTCATCTTTTTTATGACCCCCTCCTCGTTGGCAGTTGATTTTCTATAGTCCCCACTTTGTACTCGATCTCTTGGCGACGACTGTTTCCCCCTTCCCCTCTCCTTTACAACCACGTGATTCCCCCAAAAGTCCTCCACACCCCCCCTCCCGTTGCAATTAGTATTAGGGCTTACGTTTTCATAAGTGTCTGTTTTCGTCTCAAGCAAATTGAAGCAAAAATGTTTTCACCTTAGATAGCGTTTTCATATTGCACTTAACTGTCCATACCACTGCCTTCTCATTTGAAAACCCATTCATTTCAATCAATTTTCGGCGATTGTCCAAACCAAAACTGCAGAGAACACAAGTGGAACCAACAGTACGTAGCGTATTTTTCGTAAACTGAAATTTTCTCACTTAATTGTCTTATGAAAAATATGCCGCAGTTTCAAAGCACTCAACTTTTCAAATAATTTTTGAAAGACTCCGTTTCCATAAATTTTTTCAGGCGTTTCAATGTGCATGATGAGAAAAACGCGTTAAGTGTTGTGTTCTCGAACAAAAAAACCGTAAGCGTGGGTGGGGCCTTAGTGTTGCATCTGGTTGATTGAGAAGGTGGCGGAAGCTTTCTTAAAACGAAGTGCAGACCAGTGCTACCAAGGGTAGCTTGAGTTTGCTTTAGGTACCAGCTTTCTTACCGCGGCCGTTCCGAATAAGAGCAGAGTGAAGGAGGTTGGTGATGTTGGAAGCGGCACAGGATTAAGTAATTGATTCCTAATGTAATTTCCGGCGATTGAGTGAATATGGATCAGTGGGAAATGAAACATTTCTGCGGGACGAGAGGAAAGAGGACTAGGCCTGTTCAGTGTATCATGGGGCATGATGAGAACCAAGAAAGGTTTGTCACGCGGGTTAAGACTCTGGGCTGGCACCAATTTCTTTAAGTGCTTTGTTTAGATATTTGTCAAGAGATTTTTTTCTTTATTCACTAAATTTTTTTTCACCATAGTGCACTTAGTAGTGAATGCTTTCATTTCTGTTTTAGCAGCGTGGCCTTCGAAGGATGGACTATTCAGATCTTGAGCCATGGCTCCTACCCAGATTTCCTTCCTTATTTTTTCCTTTCGGGGTTTTGGCAGGCAAGGCTTTTCCTGGCCTCCTTTCTGCCTGTAACTATTTCTGTAAACTGGCACTTAGTCTGCCCTCAGTGTTACTCTTCTCACTAGCATAGAATTGCAAGATGAAGTAGGTTGCAACATGCTATAACGCAATCCAAGTTCCCGGCCGTCTGCATGTATTGTAATAATTTAGGTAAGGTAGTGTAGTCATGACCAATCATGTGTAACTGAGCCGGTGCTCGAAGATGGAACGAAAAGGAAAGCGGAAGCCTTTTCTTTGCCTTTTTCGTAAGAAAGGATCGATCACTGTCATCTACGTCAGTGTCAAGAAGCGTTAGTTTCGAAAATGTTTCATATCTGCGGCGCTCAATTTAGTGCATCATGATTTTAATAACGCAATATTCGACAAGTTGCAAAAATTCCTTTCAAAGAATTTCACGAGCGGATTTCGCGGGGTCGTGCTCCCCTTTTTATTTCCAATCTGTTTCTAATATACTCTCAATATTTTCCAGTAGGGTTTAAAATGAATGTTAATCCTTTAACTCCCACTAGTGATTAAAGTGTAACTTCTTGCTACAATATCCATACATCACTCAACAAACGGGTAATGAGAATACCCAAACTTATCAGGTAGAAGTTGTTATTTTGATCTAACATCAAATCCCCATAACTAACTTACAACGAAATTTCTAGCACCAAGAGGGGAGAATTGATAATTGGATCTAGGGAGTTAAAGGGTTATAATTAACTATTGTTGAATGGAGCGAGAAGGCGATTCCGCGATTTCGGCCTCTCAATCTTTCTAAACCCGCCCAAGTATTTAAAAAAACACAACGAAGTACCTCATTTTACTCATACGACCAAGTTCACGGGGTGTAAAAAGTAGTTTCTAGGAGGGGTGGGCAGGAGCCCATTATTGTACATCAGTGTACATGGACGTCTCCTCCAGTCTCCCTTTCCCACGCTCAGGCCATTTGCCATTTGTATTAATAAACCAAACTGGGGTCTCTTAGGTCAAGACCAAAAATAAGCCGATGAAAGGCGAAAATCATAGACTAAGAAGCTAATTTATTTAAGGCTTCCATAAATGACCAACATCATAAGTTCATGATCACCTGTGGATAACAGACAAGATAACCCTTAGCGGGGTCACAAAGATCAGACGCCAACATACTTGATATTCCTTGATGCCTAATGCAAAGCATCTGCTTTAAGCTGTTGTAAGTGTTGGGAGACTCTAAGAGGTAAACCCATTTCTTAAATCATAAAATATATTTAAATAATTTGCCAATTTCGTCGACTTGTCATCCGCGCTTTGATAGCCGTCGATTCACTAACAACTAGTCAACAAATTGACTGCTATCTTCATATTTCTTGTTTAATTGTCCTAGATCCAAACTAACGGCATGTACATTGATTGACCTATCAGTTTACAGGTTAGTGTTTTTTTTTCTCTAGATTTCTCTATCGCAAGATCTGCCACAATTAACGAAGATGTTTCTGTCAACTACAGTCAACTACAGTCTCCTTTCTGAAATAGGTTTCAGTAACGCTTGACTCCACATCATTCATGAGATAACTCTGCCATATTTGACCATGATTAAAAATCATTTGACACCAACACGCATACTTTCTACTTCTAGCCCACCGTGAGATCATCAGGTAATTTACGCAGAGAAATATTTCGAGATTTTCCGATATGTCTTGTGTTTAGTCAAGCGGAAGTGGCTCGGAAGTATGCGATTCCCGCGCGTATTGTGGATAACGCGTTGTGATTGGCTTAGCGGGAAAATGTGAAATTCTAAATATTTCTGTCACGTGAACGAGCATTAAAGTCAAAGCGCAAAGAAAGTAGGATTTGTGACGGGAATTATACGCTGAACTTTTCTTTCTCTGCTCAAAGAAGATGGAAGACGAAGAGGCTGTGCTCAAGAAAAAGGTAGGGAAGAGTCCAATGAATGAATTTCAAGCGTTATGAGGTGTTAACAGTCATTCACCCTCCACTTCCGATTATGCAGGCAATTCGTACAGTAAACAACTGGTGGATGAGCCCGAACTGTAGCCTTGTTTGGTGAGGAGCTCTCGGCCTTCCACCTTTACTGTGTGATTGTTTACTCGCTTTTGAACTCTTCGCTTTCACTTAAGCAGGACAATTTTTTAAAAGCTCGCATGGACCAACGATTTTCAAAAGCGGTTTGTTTCCACTTCCTACTGAGTTGACACTAAAGGTATTCTTTTCTTCAGGAGTTCCTTCATGAGAGTGAAGCGTGAACCTTTGCAGCCTTGTCGATAAACTTTTTACCTCTAAATCGTTTTATAACTATTTTTAGCCCTTCCGTGCCTGTAGAATCGATTCTAAACAACAATTATGTAAATCTGAGAACGACTTACGTTTTTTTCTGCTATTTGTAATATTTTTGCAAGACCACGATATCAAGAAAGATCACGGTCGGCCTGATGTAGTTTCGAAATTTAGTCCTCGTTGATAATGTGGAATAAAAATATCTTTTTATTTTTGGATAGAGTTGCGATCAAATCCTGCTGTATTAGCAATATTATGAAAGTGCGTGTATACTGTAGTCGCAATGTTATCCTAGAAATGGATTTGTCACGTATGAAGCTGTATGGATTGTTGAAAATTTTGTAGATTTGCCAAGCTTTGAAACATTAAGCCGCACGTATTTCTCAAGGAAACGGTTCTTGAATCTTCAGGTAATCTTCTAGGTAGTCAAATTACCGAGATACCTCCAAGTGGATTGTGTATTCTTCGAAATTTGAATAGTAACAATGGATCACTTTAGCAGCTTAATTACGTACGTTAAACTTTTGGTCCTAACTGTCTCCGTTCATCTTATCTCGCTTGAATTTCGAGACTACTTTTTAATTGTGGCAGCATTGCAAAATGTTAAATAATTATCAAGTGTCGATTTCCCCGTCACAAATCAACATTTTACTGCTAAAAGGATGGGTTTGTAAATATTTTCACGGAATGTTTACAAGGAATGTGATATAGGCTTTGCATGTTGTCGAGGTGATCAAGAATTCTTTTCATTTTAAGATAATCTGCCGACCAATTTTGGTCTTCTTGTATCTGTTTGTAGCTTAATCTTTTTCTGACCTTTCTCAAGACGGCCAAAGTTGTTTTGTCATCAACAGATTCTTTCGGCCATTTTAATTCTCAGGAATTAATTTATCTCTGAAAAAATCGAGATACTTGATTGATTTGCCTATTTGATTTCCGTTCTGCCTCATTTAGCCCTAAATTAAATATCAACACTTCGTTAAATTCGTTAAGGTTTGGGAACATAACAAATGTAAACAGTTATTGTACTTCTCTGTGAGTGAAATTGTTCAATTGTCTATGGGTGATTCCCTGAAGTCCTTAGTTGTGTCACTCTGTGTAAACAAAGCTACAGAAGGTAAAACTGAAGGACAGGGTCAGGTGTCATAAAAGTTCAATTTTATGAGAACTCCATAGTCCATTGAGGCTTCTTCAGAGAGAACAATTTTGGTGTTTATTGTTAGTGAAGAGGTCAACACAAAATTCAGTATTTGCATTTGGCATAGCTTTATATCCTTGACAAACCATCAGTAGCCACCTATACAATTAATTCTGCTTCAAAAGGAGGCAGTGATTAAGGCTGGGTTTGATAAATCAAGTGAAATGTTTATATTGAATATTTATCTTAACAAAATAAATATTTCAAGAGAACTATCAGATGAAATAATGGAAGAAGTGAATCTGTTAATACCTCACAAAGCACACTTAGCCCCCTTGGTTCCAGCATGTTGCTTAAAAAGGCTGAATTATATTCGCTATTTACGACCATTAGATCATTCCTCCCTCAAACGTTCCTTATGACTTCTCTTATTTTCACTGTGTGATGAAAGTGGCTAAGATTGTTGCTAGTCATTAGGTGATAATGTTTTATACAACAGAATTGACAGTGACTGTAACATATACTTGAGGGTGGCCTTCTGGTCCTGTTCACAGTAAAACACTTCTCTTTAAATTGATTATTTTGAATCTCAGAAGTAATTTCCTGTAAATTCTTCATAAACTTTTACTACAACATGATGTAGCCTTATTGTTGTATGTTTATAAACCTTAAGCTTTAGGGTTTATCTTGATATAAACCCACATTCTCTTGATCTACACACAAAAAAGGGTACAGCTTTTGACCCTCTCTTTCCCAATATCTGGATAAAAATTCTCCTTTGACTGTCAGCCATACATTCCTTGTAAAGTTTGTTTTTAGAATTTAGTGTGCAGATCAAATGATAATCCTCTAGTTAATATTTGTGGCTATTCTCATCACTTGGCTACTTGAAATTGTACATATGTCTGGGTTTCTACCAGGAGTGAAAGGGTTAGGAGAAAGATTTCCATTCTGATTCAAGGAGTCTGAATGGGAAGACCCCATCACAAGTGGTTGAAAAAAATTGGTCTTTAAAGGGCGCTTGCTGATAAGGAGATTATGGTGGTCAAGAGCAATTTTCAATCAAGTAATCCTGATTTGCTTTGGTTTTTACTTTAATTTAGCTTTGACTGGTCTAAAAAGCCTATGCCATCCTTTCAACAAATCATGGCTTGAAAACTTGTTTTCCTGTACTTATTACAACTTTTTTTTTTACGTTGATTGTAGACTGTTGTGATATTTTCCTGTGTTCTGATTGGCTGTAATGATAAGTTTAGATTGGGTATTGCAAAAGGGAATTCAGAAGCGCTTTATAAGCTAAACTGTTCTAATATTACTGTTTATTTTTAAGTTGGAAGAGACAACCAATTTTGAAGAAAGACGTGAGATTAGACAAAAGCTTAGAGAGCTGCGCAAAAAGAAACTTGACGCTTTAGAGTCAGCTACAACTACAGCAAATGAAAGACCAAGAAGGAGGGATAGAGTGAAAAGAGAGGAGCAAACTACTATTATAACAGAGACAAAAACAACCACTGGTGATTCTTTGGAGCCATCAACAGTACAAACTAAGGTGGAGGTTAGTTATAGTCACACAGTGGCAACTGATGAACCCTCTGAAAATGGTCTTGAAAATGGACATGTTGAAAGTGAAAATGTTGTTGAAGAGGAAACAGTTTCTGCTAAAGAGGAAAATGTTGTTGAGGAACAGCCAGTGGAAGGTGAAAGTGCAGCTCAGTTTAGTATAGAAATAAATGGGGAAAAAAGTTCCCAAGATAAAGATGAAGAAGAAGTGGTGCCAACCCCACAGTCTGAATTTTCCACAGACACTGAAACCGTAGAAAAATCCTCTGAAAAAGTCATCGAGGATGAACCAGCACAGGACAATGAGGAAGAAGAAGAAGTGGAAGAAGTCGAATTAACACCAGAGGTGATTGAAAAGATGGAGGACTTAGATCAATTAGAGAAACTGGTGAGGATGAGTCAAAACAATTTTTTCTGTGTGGTTCAATTTACTCTGACCATTTCTTAAACTGTGCATTCATCCAAGGCCTTTAAACCATTTAAGTTTTAACATCAGTATCCATATTCTCCATAATCTTAGCACATTTCCTTTGGTACTGACAAGGAGAATTTGTTTTACAATCAATAGGTTTCTTTAGTTGGTGATTGTTTCCTCTATTCTCATGACCTTAAATGTGTGTTTCAGAGTTGGTATTGTAAGGAGAAATTAGATGCTAGTCACTCCAATGGGTCAAAGGGTTAAAAGTTAAAAAAAACTTTTTTTGAAAGCAATTTAGAGAACACTTGAAAAATTAATGATTCTGTGATTCATTACCTTCATTTCTTCCCCCTTTTATTTTTTCTTACTTTTTCCTTTTTTTTTTCAGCTTAAAGATGTTCCTTTAAATGAATATGCTCTGAGAAAGGCAATAAGGCTACAAATAAGACAACTGAGAGTCAAGAAAGGTTTGTGTTTTTCTGTTCTCACTATGCTCTAAGTTTTAAAATGACTGAGATTTCACCAGAACTTAATATCTTTATAACCTTTTCTATGCAAACTTGTGAAATGAAGTTATCATGGGGCAGCGATTCACTTTTTTGCATAACTTTCAGATAGCATTTTTTGCGTTTCAAACAGTGGTAACAGCAGCATCCCATACTTCATTTTTATAACCCTTTATACCCATAAATCAGTATGTGTATTCACCATACTGATCTCTATAGAATTCCCATAGTACTGACAGGAGTTTTTGTGCATTCAGATCAAGGGCTCCTTCAGCTAGTGATAACATCCTGTATTTTTGCAGCCTTAATGTCTGATTCATTGGTAAAACTGTGAGGAGAAACTCAGTGCTATTCACTCTTAGGGGTTAAAGGGTTATCTGTTCCTTTTAATGTCCCTTAGGACATGAAATTGATATAATCTTGACTGAATTAAGTATTTTGCAAGTTCTTTTAGTTCTCTGGTAAATTAGCAATTTTGAAGTGTAGATATATAACTTGAGATATGATCAAACTACTGTACAGCAATGCAAAAGAATACTCGAGTGGCATCTAAATTCAAGTCAGAGGCTCCAGCACCTAAGGGAATGAGGTTAGTATAGCAGCTGCTTTGAGACACAGAAGTAATCTGTTGCCGGTTTGTACTCACTTTTATATTGACAGAGATGAACAAAGATAGCGAAATTGGGCTAGGGTTTAGAAAGAGAGATAGAGTCAATCAAGGAGATGACTTACCAGGAAATAACACATCCGTGAGACACCAACCTTCTGAGTGTTCCAGGTCACAGATATCTGATGATAGTGGATTGAGTTCCGGTACTGAAGCAATGGCTTCAGTATCCATTGATGAGGATAATGTTCAGCTTGACATTGACAGTGTAAAGCCCCAAGCAGTGGCTAGTGACTCTGATGCAGATGATGCTTCCTCCACAGTATCTAGCTTAACCTCTGGGAGTGCTTCCGAGCCAGAGGTTGTCAAAACTTCACCTCCAAGACCTCCTAAACCATCTAGACCTATGTCAAGCACTCCTATGGAGAGAAGATCTAATGGAGAGCTTTCAGGAGATTTTAAAACTCGAGTACTAGGAAGCTCAACTACACCAATAAGAGATCTGTCAAAAAAGCCTAAATCTTCAGGTCCTGAGCAAGTGGATTTCCGAAACCAACTTAAGAAAACTGGTTTGAGAGCTGATAGAGATTTGACAGCACAGGGGAAAAGACAACAACAGGGAGATTTCCGTGGACAACTGAAGTCAACAGGTATTGATGCATCAAGAAATTTATCAGTGCTAAGAAATGCAGGTAAAAAAAAGGAAGGGTCTGCTCAGGTTGATTTCAGAGGGCTTCTTAACAAAGCAAAGGGTTCTGAGAGTCCTGTTGATAAAAAAACACCTCCACGTCCTCCCCCAACATACTTATCAAAGATAGCAGACTCTGGGGCTTCAGCTTCCCGAACCTCTGCTGGAAGTCTGTCAACTGATGGCAAGGAAGGGGCAAAGGACTCAGAAAGTAAAGCTGGTCGAAAGATCTCAAGTTCAGACCTGCTGAACATGTTGCATAAGCCTGTTGAGACTTCCAAGGAAAGTTATCTTGTACAGCGAGGTATCAAGAAGGCAGAGGCCTCAAAATCGGTGACTCAGAAGTTTGTAGCACCATCAACTAGTACAACGGATGAGGCACTTCAAGCTCGCATGGCAGCGAGAAAGGAAAGGTCAGAGAAACTTATTCCTCCAGTCAAAGATCCTCGAGAACAAAGAAGAGCTTCCAAAGATGAGGAAATGAAAGATTTTCGTACAGTGTTAAAGAAAGCTGCTACTCAAAAATCAAGAGTATTGCCCAAAGGAATTGAACATGAAGGGGAGCAGGAAACTTCAGCAGGTGAAGCCAAAAGGTAAGAGGGTTTCAAATGAAGCTATTTTTGTGATGGTGTTTTGTAAGTCTTGTTTTGTGGTGTGATTCTGTGATTCTTTGATTCTGCTTGCTAATAATAAACTGATTTTTCTTGCAAATTCTCTCCTATTGACTTTCTATTTTCTTTCTTTACCTAACCTCTACAGAACCTGTCTTCAAGGCTGTCTCTGGCATGCAGGTCTTTTTATAAGTTTCAGTAAATTATTGTAACTGAGCTGTTCTTACAAATTTGGCTAGGAAACTTTCTGTATAAGAAAGCCAGAATCTGCTCTTTGGAAGAAACAGGGAAGTTGGAATAATTAATTAGAGAACTTTCTAGTGAGAGTGACAATGTAAAGTTGGCAAAAACTGCAGTAATAGTTTTTACATCTGTTTCATTGACAAAATCATATTCTGAGTAAAAATATTTTGACAATTCTAGGAATGGTTGAATGCAAAAGCTTTCTGTTGAAACCACATCGAGTATACCTTTTTTTGGACAATTCCAAATCTCTCTCTTAAGATCCTACAGCAATTATGAACTTTAAACATCCTTAATAACTGCTTTGTACACCTGAAATTTTCCCTTCTAGTTCAACGTTCAAGTTTCACTTCCAAGTTGAATTAACATTCTAGTTGTGTTCAAATTTTTTCTTTTATTTTTCCATAACTGTCTGTAAGCACAAAATTTGGACCATTGACCTCTCAGAAAATTCAATGATGTTGACTTTGTTTTTAAAATTGGCAACTTTGTGAACCAGGTCTTGTTTTTATTTCCTTTTTCAAAAAGCAAATTGGATGACAATTTTGCTAGAACTAATGTTACATGAACCTGAATTGCCAATTGGCCCATGCAGTCATTCAAACCTTTCAGTTTAAGGCAGTTAAACAAATTTGTAATTAAAATACTTCTGTTTGAAGACCACCTGCCAATCTGCGATTGATCATGAAATGAACTTGAAGATTATAACTGTCAGTATTGATTTGTGATCTGTTGTTATCTGACAATTAGTGTGAATAAAAAGAACAAAACTCAAAACAGATGTCTTGTGTCATTCTCTAATTAACTGAAAGGTAAAAGCTGATACAACCAAAAAATTAAAAAATTCTAACAATTTCAAAAATGTCATGGTTACTGACCAATCAAAATGAATTATAGACAATCAGTTTTTTTTTACTGCAAGATAACAATCTTGTCCATGATAACCAATCAAATTGATATTTATTAAAAAAGGATGTGGTTCCTATGTAAAACATGATGCAAACTATTCCAAAAATTTCTCATTAACAGCCAATCAAAGTAAAAATAGTATAAAAGAGCAATAACATACTTTCACCGGAAACCAGCTGTACTAGAATTAGACACCTACTGTGTTCATAATGCTTGAGTTAACTTCATGAAATAACTCCAATATGGCATGTGAACATTCTTGTGTCCTTACTTTGTGTTAAAAACCCTCTGCTGAAGACATGTTTTTTTTAAGTATCTTCTGTATTTCTGGTGATTTCTAATGACCTAGTCACTCTGACTGTTGTCCTCTTATTTATTCAAGATGCTCACTGATAAGATAAACTGCCACCAGATCTTTTAGTTTGTACTGATGGTAACCAGACTGTGACACAGTTTAACAGATTGTCTGTTCTTTTTCTATTTACAACTGCTCATCCTTTTTTCCTAGTTATTAAACCTTTGCTGTGCTGATGGCTTAACTGCACTAATTTTGTGTTTTATGTTGTTTTTGTGAAATTGAACATGAAATTTTGATGAACAGAAGATGTGCATTTACATCTTGATTACAGTGTTTTACTTGGCATTATTGGTATTTGTTTAAAATAAAACCTTCCCATATGTCAAACTTAATGTGTTTTTTTTATGAGTTGTGTTTATTAGAAAAACAGTTATTACTAACAGCTATAACTGAATGTTAATTTGTGTGGTCTTACTGCTTAAAAATGTTATTGTTCTTACATTCAAATATAGAGTTGTATTTAGAGTTGTCATGACAGTCTTTTATGAGGAACCTTAAGTTCAAACATTTCGAACTGCTCTCCAGGTGAATAATTTGGGGAATAATTAAGTTGTATCAAACTTTGTAAAAGTGTGCACACCTTTAGTAGATGAAAAGGTTAATCAGTGTTTAGAGTTAAACCCTCTGGGGGGCAATGTGATGATACTGTTTCATTTACCACAGAAACCTGCAGGCTCCCTATATCTTGGTCTTTCCTGGGAGTTAAAATTTTCATTTTCTAGGTCTTACTGCTTTTTTGGAGTGGAAAGAACTTTGTTGACCCTTCTTTGGGGAAAGCAATCATGGAAGGGGTGTCTAATGGTCTTGCATCAAATTAGTGAGAAAATAATCTTAAACTTAAGAGGAGACACTTCCCAATAGTTGCAAACCTTTTTCTCTGTTTAATTTTACCAAGATGTTTATTTGAGTGTGTAACAATGAGATGTTTTTCCCCTCTCAGTCACTTTTAGTGCCCAAGTTTTCAAATGTCTTACCCCACTCTCTTTTATTGCAGGCCAAAGTTGGCCAAATATTGACACCTACCCAAATTTATTGAACTCTGCAATACTTTAAACATGTACTCTTGATCTGTAGTTTTAATACATACTTAGCTCTACTCTGTTATACCAGATATATATTTTGTTCGAAAAAAGGTTCATATCTACACAGCAGATGGAAATAAATTTGTTTTCGAGTAGAATTTTATGTGAGGGAGAAGGTGAAGGGACTGGTGACCTTTTTTTCCATTAGATAAGAAATTCCTTCACGTTTTCTAAAGGAATAACAATGAAAGTTCAAAATAAGGAATCATCATTTCTGTTTGATGCATGAAATAAATTTTAATTGTGAAAGTGAAAATCAATGCTTGGCTCACTAGTGAGGCAGCTTCATTACCACAGCAACTAAATTAATTTGAGGGTGATTTTGCTTTTGTGCTTCTGTGTTTTTATTCTTTGTTGATTCAGTCTTAGTCGTAATTACATGAAATCTTTGTGTTTCCTTCCTAGGAATGAAAGATTTTCAATAGACATCCAAGACAAGAATGAACTTGCAAAGTTACGAGCAGATCTTTTACGTCAAAAAGAAATACAGGACAAGGAACCTTCAGAAACAAAAACTGTCACAACTGTCACAGAGAAGACAGTTAAGGAGACTGATGGGGGACAGGGAACAAGAACAACAGAGATTAAAAAGACAACTGAGGTGCACAAGACAGGGGAAGGTACCATGACAGTGACTAAAACAACAAAAACAACTACAGGAGGTAGTAAAGGTTGGTGTCTCTTTTAATCACTTCTTGATCTTGCTGATAATTTCTTTTGAGTTTTACATCTGATTCGAGAATAAATTGATATTAATAGGAAAAAGATCTCAGTTGATCTCAAAGTCTAAAGAAGATACACGGCAGTGGTTTGTACTTTGCTAGTTCAACAATAATATTAAACCCTTTACACCCCAACATCAGTATGCATATTCTCCATACTGTTCTCTATACATTTCCTAAGGTGCTGACAAGGAGAATTTGTGTATCACTTAGAGCTTCTTCAGTTGTAAAATGAAATAAAACAGACATCTCTAAAGAGTTAAAAAAATGAAAACCTAATGTTTACAACTTCAAAAGCAACACAACTTAAACTTCAATTTATTGATCAGGGTCTTATCCATTGTAGGGAGGGTTTTTCCTGTGAATGCATCTAATTCCTCTCCACCAAAAACCTACTATTTGTAGTTTGTATTTGAGTCTAAAGATGTTCAGAATGATTTAATATTTTATTCTGAAAGCACAGTGAGTCACCTCAATATATTGTTGTGTTAAATATAGTGGATGATTCAATATGTTTGAGGTTAAAGAATTTATTTGCAACATTTTTGTTATGAGAAAGTCTTGCATGTATTTAAGGAAAATTTTCACCACAAAGAAACAAATTTTTATGGTTATTGAAAGGGAGAACTAGGTCTCTAGGTCTCTCTATTTTCCTTGTTTACAAAATTAATGCTAAATTTTCAGGTTTTGTTCCTTACAATATTTTCACCACATTTTCAATGGGACAGGTGCTACTGTTTAATATGTAACTGTCAAGTCATTATCACCTTCATTTACTTTTCTTGTATTCTTTTATTACCAGACATGAATTATTTAACTCTCTTTTGTTTAGAGAGAACCCTGAGAGGGAAATGTGAAAACTTTTTCACCCATGTTCAATTATACTGTTTGACTAGCAGTCATTAATATTTAACGCATGCCAAATTTATTCACTGTAGACAATACGAGGTATAGTTTATGTTTTGATCTAAGAAGCGGATATTTGTGGAAAGAAAGGTATCAGTGTTCTACTTGGAGAAATTCTGACAATCTAAGTAACTTGGTTCTTTGAAATTTGTGCACCTGATCTTCTATACCTTGGTAAGCAGATGAAAGGCCTTGAATTTCACAAATTTATGTCTTTATTTGACACTTAATACTTGTTTGTCTCTTGCTTGAGGGCCTAGCTACAGCAGGTTATTACCCTTAGTCATGAATGGATAACAAATTCTCAGAAATATTGGAGTACAGGGAATTTCACAGGAGCAAATGAGAAAATTTTTAAAGTACTTGCTGCTCAAAGTTTAGCACTAGACAATTGAACTTAATTTCAGATAACTGTGTGCATACACTGTAAATGTTTTCAGCAAATTTTATGGGGTCGACGAAAAAATTAATCTTTTCAAGTATGAACCATTCTCAGCTCTTCAAGTGAATCACAGATTATTTTTTTAACTTTTAACTCTACAGTACTTGTCACAATTTCTTCACTTGTTATTAGGGGCTTCAATTGATGCACTGTTTGCACAAAGGAAGAAAGAGAGAATGATGGCCAAAAAGAAAGCAGAGTCAAACACAAAGGACAGAAGGAATGCATTTAAACAGCAGCTTGAAGCTCAAGCACCAAAAGTGTATGTAAAAAAATATTTTTAATGTAAATTAATATAGGTAATACAGATAAATATAGATCTTGTGTGAAAAGAAAAATCCTGGAAAATGATTTATGGGTAAAATGATATCGTATCTACAATTGCCTTTGATACTAGAGGAATTAATTTGAACTGAACTGTAGGATTATAAATTTTTAATGAACCAAAATTCAGTATTGCTGGATGTAATCATGACTAAAACACCAACAGCTTATTGCCAAAGTTTCCTTTAAAGTCAGGTTTTGAAATGTTACATGTTTTTTCTGTGATAAGCTAGAGCACAATAATTGTTTGGCCTGTTAGCTGATGTCATCTTTAATATCAATATTACTATTGCAGTGAAGGTGGAAGGAAGTTCACTAGTGGCAACACTGCTGTAAACCAGCTCCAGGAATGGTGTCGTCGAAGAACTAAGTTTCATGAGGTTAGTTGATGCTTTCACCCAAGAATCAGTTGAAATTTTGGTTTCAGAAAGTAATTTGAACTGAGCTGTTGGATTGCAAAATTTTTCTCTCACCCAAGAATCAGTTAAAATAATCTTTTTTTTGATGCTTTATAATTAATACTGTGCAGCTGAGCACTATAACTTCAAAGGCTCATGCACTGTACTCATTCATGTTTACAAATGAATTTGTATGCTTTGAGGCAGCACTGGTAGAGACTGAGGAATAGTTCATGGCAATAGTTCCTGAAATTGTCACTTTTGTGTGCCGTTATAGGGAGTGGACATTCAGAACTTTACTACCAGCTGGGCCAATGGGTTGGCTATGTGTGCTCTGCTAAATTACTTCCTACCTGAGAAGATTCCATATGAAACTCTGAATCCTGAAGACAAAAAGGGAAATTGGACCCTGGCCTTTAAAGTTGCCAAGTGAGTAAAGTTTTAAAGACAAAATGAATAGTCTGTCTCTGTGTACTTTACCAGCTTAGGATTCATAGAGTCGTATTCAACTGCTCTTGTGATAACCCAGAGGCCCACAATGTGAAGCAAAGTGAGATAGGGTGTTACTTTCACATTTTGGTCATTTATCTTAACCCTGTACACCCTATCATTAGTATGCATTGTCTCCATACTGTTCTCTATACATTTCTTAAGATGCTAACAAGGAGAATTTGCCTAACAATCAAGAGCCTCTCTAGTTGGTGATCATTTCCTTTATTCTCATGACCTTAGTGTGTGATTCAGGGTTGATATTGTAAGGAGAAATTAGATGCTAGTCACTCTTAGGGGTTAAAGCTTGTACAGGGTGATAAAATAATACTACAGTAACTTTTAAACATGATTGTTATCATGATGGGAAATAATTAACATCTAGTCCACCAGACTTGGGATATAGAGGTCAAATTTGAACACCTGGTGCCAGGTTGTTTTGATATTGGACAACTAAACACTTTGTTCTGACCGTGCCCTTCTGTGCAATTGTGTAGATGTTGCCTATTCAGGGCAAGGCTTTCAAATTTCAAGACCTTAAGCCAGGTTGCTATAATATTGGGCAATTAAAACACTTTGCTTTGACAGTGCCCCTCTGGGCAAGTTTGTAAATGTTGTCAATTGGTAAAGCTTTGAATCTTACTCCAATTCTCCTCAGAGGAATGTAGAAATCTTGTTTTTCTATTGGTTCATCACCCTGGAGGGCTGGTAATTTGATAGTTTGTTATCACTAATCCAGTATTTTAAGTTCTTATTTTGATTTCTCCTTCATAAAAAAACGTGTCATATATCAGGGTAAACATTATATGAGGTACTTCTTCAGTGCAAGGGAAACTAGATGAAATGAAGTATTCATATTACATTCTCTCTGTGATAGCTCCAGCTATTATGATCGAGCTACATGCCTAGTGAGACTGAAAAATTTTTTGTTTGCTCTTATCAGTGAGGAGGGCATTGAACCTTTGTTGGAGTTGGAAGACGTTATGGCTGTTGATGTCCCTGAACCCAAAAGTCTGATCACTTATGTCCATTTTGTCTACCAACACTTTTCAGAGAAAAAACAACAGCAACAGCAAGCATAGACAAGTTCCATTGAGGTTAAGGTTCTTGATACTGTGCTTTAATCTTTCTTGAGCATAATAATATATTTTAAATCAGGCAGCTCTTGCTTAATTTCATAGTAGTTGAAATGATATAATATTATGTAAATGTATTTTAATAAAATAGTTTTAGATATGATCGTATAAGATCATGCAGGTTATTTTTAATCAGTTGTCCAGTCAACGATTTTTGATTTTTTATTTACCAAAATTTTAGCAAGATGGAGTAGTTGAATTTGATTCTGCATTTTATAGTAACGGATCAATGAGGTAACAATATTAAACAGTGTAATACAGTTATATAAGGACTTTTGTATCATTTATACAATACAAGTTGCTAATAATTGAATTGTTCTGGATGGTTTCTCCTTCAAATTTTTCAATAAATCAATTGCTACAGGGTAAGAAATTTCAGACAGAGTATCTTGCACTAAAGTCTTTTGAGGTACATTGTAAGGTTGATTTCTCTTTATTAGTTATGCCACACAAAATTTCTATGGTTGAAGTTATATACAGTGTAGGTAAAGATGTTGTGTGTAAGATTTAACCCTTTAACTCCCAAGATCTGATTGTTAACTCTCCCACCAGTTGCTACACATTTCCTGGTAATTAAGTTACGAGGAATTTTATGTAAGTTCAAAGTAACAACTTATATCCGTAAAGTTTAAGCATTCTCATAACGCGTTTTGCCGGATATTGTATGGATATTGTAGGGAGAAGTACTATTTTAATCACTTCTGGAAGTTTAAGGGTTAAAACAATCCGCTAATGTTAGTTGGATAATCTTGTTCGAAGTGGGAACCTTTAAATATCGTTTACAGAGAAATACAGATGATTGGTTGACAAGTTAAAACGTGCTCAGTAATATATAGAATGACTTGTCTAACTTGATGTAATCACAATGTTTGCAATCGAGTGAATGAAATCATTTCCACTGTAGGTAATTTAAAGTAAGATTTTGTTCTATTTTTTAATCTTCAAAGGTGGGGCATGAGATGTCAATCACGAAATATATAGTATGCATCTGTAGCTGATATTCTGTGCTACTGTTTATAATTATATCGAGTTTGAGCATGGTTTTCATTAAAATTACAACAAAACCGATTGAATTTGAGCATTTCATCTTATTAGTTTTACTTTCTTGGCCGTCAAATAGGAAAACGAGGAACAGAGCGCGTGCCACGCCCATTGTGTTTCAAGAAGAGTGGCCTGATCCAGGCTTTCAGGTGGAAAAACGAAGCGCGATATCAGACCTTAGATTGGTCAATGACAGAGCTGACATCGCTTCAAAATGATGTTTCCAGCTTGCTAAGGACAGTTAACCTAGAAAGGGTTTTCCCCTTTTTCATTTTTTTTTTTCTTCTTGCAATGAAGAAGCCAGCTGTGCTAGCAGTGCACGCCTGTTTCAAGAGTTGTTTTCAAGCGATTTTTCATGCAGTCAGTTATTGCAGAACAATGAAGGAGGAGGGTTTTGGAGAGGACATAACTACTCTATTCTAATGACTCACTACTCTCTGCATCCGCATAAAAATTACACGGTCATCAGAGAAGAAAGTACCAATTCCTGGTCTTTTTTTTTTTTCTCTCTCTTTCATTGAGTCTTCCTGCGAGCCATCAACAGAAAATCGCCGTTATGAGAAAAACCTTATTGACTTCTTTTAGTTCATTCCTAAAACAAGTGTTTTATCTCCATAACCGCAGTTTTGTCTTTTAATGAGTAAACCTGAACTTTATTTCCATTTATTTCAATCTTTACAAGGTATATTTAACAATTATTCCTTGAGCGCGCGTTTGATGTGAGATGGTAAATAGCCAACGAAGCGCATAGAGCTGAGTTGGCAATAACCAATCTTGCATCCAACAAGCGCGAACGGAATAAATGTTTCATCGAATTTCATCAAATCATGATCATAAGAATATTTGGAGCTTTTTTCAGCTCGCATTTTTCCTTTTGTTTTTATCTGTTACCATGGATTTCACTTAATCTGGTAGTTTCCACAGAAAATAGTTGCGCACTAGCTGGGGGCCTGGAAAAGAAAGCAAGAGGCTTCAAAAAGAGTGGAGCTACAAACTTTGGACTCAGGTTGTGACCCTATATAATCGTTCGATCGCGCGCTTATAAAAAAATTCTGATTGTGACGTTTCTCCAGAGGAGATCCATTTTTCCGCAAGGAGAGTATAACTCAAAATGCCTCTTGTAACATTTTGGCGCGCCTTCATAGAAGCTTTACAGGCTTTAGCATATTTTGGATTTTGCGATAACGAAGAAGGGTAAGGCTCAAAACTTGTGGAAATTGTCACGTTGTTAATTGTTACGACAGGCAAAAAGCTTAAAACATTTTCTCTTGTTCAACGGGCTGATCGCGCGCCGAAACGTGTCTCGCAAAAGAGATTTGAAATTCCACATCAGTTACAATGCTGAATATTTTACCAACAAAAAGATGCATATGAAACAGAATCCAACTTAGAGACAAATCTAGTTATTTTTAAAAAGAAACAAACGGGAAAAGTGCAATTTTGCTCATTAGATATTCCTTCTTTTTTATTTCCGCTCAGTATGGCAGAAACAAAGAAAGATTTCCTTGCAGCTAGTTTACTTTTCTGAATGTTTCAAAAAAAGAAATGCGTTCACTTGCGTTACTTGAAGTAAGAATAAAACAAAATGTGAAACTTCACTCCGTAAAATTA